TGTCACTAACAATTTTCTCTTCATTGAACCTCTCATTTTACCGGCCACTAAAACCGTAATGCGTTCCTTAGAGAGCTTTCCACCAACGTACTTTTCCGATTTAAAGTTCTGTTTGGTGTAATTTTAAAAACAATCTTTTCACCTTTCTCTATTCCTTGAGTTATTGATAACTTTTCTTCCACAGAGAACACTTGGCGCTTTTTCGAAAAACTGGTGACTGTTCACACACTGGGACACAACTGAAACTGGAAGTGAGAAGTCGTCAATAGATGAAAACATTTGCGTGAAAACAGTTAGGCTCGCCGCGAGAATAATAAAAGCATGTCACTCAACCCTTATACAATGAGAAGGAAGGGTGGCCGCATTCCTTAAGAGCAAAATAACTCAGGCAGTCTGGGCTTTAAACACAATAACATATTTGCCTTCGACTATTGAACGCTGAAAAGTTATCGCTATAAAGAGTGAACCATATCGGTATAAAGAAAAAATTAATACATTGCCCTTATGATGAACCAAACAATGTTTACTATTTTCATCGTTGTAGGGGAATTATCGTTAGGAAATAGGAAATCGTTATAAAGAGAGACTACTGTATATGTATATATTCTATACATAAAACTTACGACTAGTTGATTGACTTAAAGCCCAAGCTAAAATTTAATATTTTTAAACATTATTACTGAGTTTTTTTTTATTTTGGATGTTTATAATTTTTAAATTAAGTCATGAATAATGTTCTCACAGTTTTAACTTTCATTATTAAAATATTACTTGGATTAATGGACAATCCATTAACTGGGGTTAACTAAAATAAATAGCAATCATATCGAACATAAGTATTATACAAACATTTAACTAGTAAATTGATCACGTTATTCCTTGTTTGATTTCAATTTTGATCATTTCAATTAAAAAATTATGATATAATTAATTATAATACAGACACACTATGAGTTTTTACAGTAAATTTTAAATCTAATGTTTAATATTTAAAAATTTACAGTCCGACGCCTGAAATGGCAAAAGGATATGGGAACGTAAACTGAGAAATATTTTATACTTCTATATTTTTGGCCTATACATTTTGTGTAAATATACCACCTTTATATAAAAAAGCTGAGTAAAGCCGAAATATTTTTTCTTTTCGAGGTGATCCTCAAGAGATTTGGAATAAATTTTATAAGCAGTCCGTTGGGTATTGAAGTATTTGACTTTTGTTGCAAACACCAGAGACTGTCGTGAAATTTATACCCCTGGTTTATTTAAATCCAGACTTTATTACAATTGGTAATTTTGAATTGCGTAATATTCGTTAGGTACACTTTACTTTTAAAAACATTTAAAAAAAGTTTGCAGTAATTTATCAAGCTGTCAAAAATAGTATGTAAATATATTCATCTTATAATATAAAAATATGTTTATGATATAAAACATTGAATAATCTTCCTTTAGTTCAATATAAGTTTTACAACGAACCAGTTGGAAGAATGGTCAGCTAGTACAGGTTTTGAATTTTTTCAGCACTAAAAACTTCGGCATTATTCTTCACCAAAAAACCCTCCACAAGTATATCCAACGTTAAAGTTGTATTTGTATAGCTACACAGTGTCATTTCAAACATCCGCAAAATTTCTATGTATGTGCTTTGATCAAAAACTGTCGTGGCAGGAGCATATAAAGCAGACTAGAGCCGAATGTCATAAAAGACTGGCTATTAGAAATTGGGGATCAGATCAAAAAATCAGAATCAGATCAAATAGATCAGAACAAAAAAGTATTTCAAACCTTAAGAATGTTTCAAATAGATTACGGGTCAATTTTATATGCCTTAACCCCAACAACAACATTTAAAAAGCTTAACACTATACATAATCTCGGCATTAGAATTGCTCTTGGATCATTTCAGACAATTCCCATGGAAAGCTTGCTGAGTGAAGTCGATGTATATTAAAGTAAACCTTGATACTTTGCTGATGATACCAGTATTGTATAGAGGAACTCTAATATTGCAACTATTCATGCAACTATAACTTTTGATCTACTTAAAATAAAAACCTGTTCCGACTTTAATTTACTCTCTTTTAACGTGGATAAGACAGTAGCATTATACTATAAAGGAGCTCTTTAACCCTTGCTTCTTAATAACAGCCAAATCAGTAACGTTGATTCTGTAAAATTTCTTGGTATTTTTATAGACAGCAACCTTAAATGGTCCCTTCATATCAATTTGTTAAGTAAGAACCTAGCCTCAGCCTGCTATGCAATAAAATCTGTTTTGAAAGCAAATCAATTTAACATCTTCCAAAACAATATATTTTTCTTTCTTGGAGTCTCATCTTGCAGATGCAGATAAAGCCCAAATTAAGTTAATCGGTGAAACCAACTTGCTTAGCTCATCTGAGAAAAGCAAGTACATCGAAAGGAGGTTGGGATAACCTAAAAAGGCGTATCAAAGTTCCTTGCTATCTACTCAAGTGTTTTCTGTTTTCTACTCACTGAAATTCTTTCGTGTGCTACATGTATAGAAGCAAAGCAGACCAGGAAAAGTTTTCCGAAAGCTTAAGCTAGACGTGCTACCTCCCAAATAGAGTTAGTGCATAGAGACCTGGAGGGACAAGATTTGTTTTTACGTCGACTGATGATTATACTCGAAAAACTTTGAGATATTTGCTCAAGTCTAAGAATGAAACTTTCTTCAAGTTTCAATAATTTAAACGACTCGTTGAAAATCAAATGGGGCTTAGAATAAACCGATGCAGAAGTGATAACGGTTAAGAATTTTGTAATGTTCAGTTTAGAGCTCTTTTTAAGGATTCAGGAATAATAGATAAAACTACAGTGTCATACACTCCCGAACAAAATGGTATAAAGTAGCGTGCCAATCGCACGGTTGTGTAAAAAGCTAGGGTTTTGCTTACTGACTCTGATTTGCCTAAATTGGGCAGAAGCAGTGGCTACTGCAATATATTTAAAAAATTGTTAGTAAATATCTGTTAATAAGAGTCTTCCTGAAGAAGATTCTGATTTGAATCACTTAGAGTATTTCGATGGAATTTTTGGAAATAAATTTGATTTTAAATATAAACCCATGATTATGATAGGGTGGATTAGCTGATCCCAATTGTAGAGAAAAATAGAAAAATGCAAAGATGTTGTATTTTTTAACCACATAATGTATGGATAGAATTCAATTTTGACTTAGCCTGAGGTTATAATAGAATTAACTCCGTTTATTGAGGAATTTAATGAAAATATTGGTGATAAGTCTATAAATGACGAATCATTTACCATCACTCATAATTATTCAAATGATTGGAGTAAAAATGCCACTCGGGAAGAGACGTCCACCAGATTGGTTGAGATTATGTTACCTACCAATTAGTTAGTTCTAGTTAGTTTGGACTTTAGTAGAGAACCCAAGTAATAATACTATTTCATCTAAATGGGTTTTTAAGTTGAAAACAGATGCACAAGGCAGTACTCGATATAAGTCTGGATTGGTACCTAGAGGTTTTTCTCAATCTACGGAATAGACTGTTTTGACACGTTTTCTCCTGTAGATAGAATCTCAACTCTAAAGTTATTGTTTACTTAATCAGCTCAGTTAAATCTGTTTGTTGAACATTTTCACGCCGTAAATGCTTTTTTGAATAAGGAGCTAAAAGAAGAGGTATATATGATGCAAAACAGGGAGAGAAAGAAAAAATGTTGTTTCCTTAAACGATCAATCTAAGGATTGAAACAGGCTTCTAGGGCCTGGAATGATAAGATTAATCAAGAAAAGACAATGAAGACAAAATCAAATATATGATCATGGGAGGAACAGAAGGGAAAAAAGAAGACTTTAGTGAGGTCTGTAAGAGGTAGAAGCTATAGTTTTAAAATGTGGACAAATTTCAATATCTGGGTGTAGTTTTCGATGAAAATGGAAAAGAGAAATGGGAGCTCGAAGCCAGAATAGCAAAATTGAATAAAACATTAGGTAGTTTAAGAGCCCTACTGAACTCAAAATACGTTTCTAGACAAAGTAAACTCAGAATATATAAAACAGTAATTCGACCCACAGTAACATATGCTGATGAGATATGGACAATAAATTAGAATTAAGTGGATACTCTGGAAAGATGGGAAAGGAAAATATTGAGACGTATATTCGGAAGACGGAAGACAGAAGATGGTTGAGAGAGAATATATGATTGAGAGAGATCATATGGTTATGACATGTGGAAAGAATGGCAGCAAACAGAATGCCTAAACTAGTAATAAACAGAAAACTAATCGGCCCCAGAAGAAGAGGTAGACCCAAAACGAGGTGGATTAGTAAAATGGAGGAAGTCCTTAAACACGTAAACGTGAGGGACTGGAAAAGAAAAGCACATAATAGAAGCGAATGGAGAAATAGTGTCTACCAGGTCCTTCAGAGTAGTTAAGAATGTTGTATATACATATTTAAGTTAAAGTTTTGTTTTGAAATAATTGTAATTAGTTAATATTAGGATTGTATTTAAAAAAAATGCCCTAGGCCTTAACGGCCTGTTGTGCGTAAAAATAAATAAATACTTCAACTGCATCATTTAAAAAACATATTAAAAAACTGTTGTAGCTAGCTTATGTATCTTACTGTATTTTATACATTTTGTACAAACATTGAAAAAGGGTTTAGCGCGTCAATAAACAAATAAATAAATATATTATTATCGTTTTGTTACATATTTAGACTTGTCAAAAATAAAAATTTTCTTAAAAATCTTTAATTTAATAAAATGTAGATAATAATATATTACAAATTTATTATATTAAAAAAGAGTATTCAATTTGCGATATATTGAATGGAAAAATGTGTGTATTTATATTCGCTAACTTTTTTAGAAAACTAACATAAGAGTATCTTCATCCTCATAACAGTACTATTTGTTAAATATAACAGAAAATATTTTAAAAATAACTAGAATGTTCCCAAATTTCGATAGTATTGTAGAAAATATGAATGAAACACTCACCCTGTATATACAAGAAAAACAATACACCTGTTGATGGAACTCACCACGAACAATGAATATACACTATTTCCTCTAAACTCTTATATATATCTAAATATTCTTCAATCAATTTTAGCGCCCTCTATGTTGCGCTTGCCCGCCAACTCTTCAAATACGCGCCAGCAGGACCCCGAAGGAGACGTTCGGGACAGCGAATGATCCGACGGGACGGTGTTCCAAGGGGAAAATGGATTCTAAAACGCGGTGGAGTACGTTTGGAGAGCGTGCTGGATGAGTGAGGACAGGGGTTGGTTTTTCGCGGATGGGTTGTTGGATTACGTGTTTCACAGAGAAGTTAGGCCTGTTTAAATTACTTTTGGAAGTTACATCAGAGATACCTGTTTATGCTGGGAAAGTTCTGAGTTTGTTTAATTTGAAAAAAAGGTCGAATTTGGATTTGGCTTATTTTTTCTGTGGCATATTTTGACGTGTACAAATCTAAACAAACAAATCCTATACATTTTTATACATAAGTACAGCTAAAGGGAAAAATAATATCATTTTAGGATAAATAATTCATTTAAAATGTACATTTTAATATTATAATTTAATAATTTAAAAATATACAATAATCTTAAAATGAAGCTTTAGTGCATTTATAATGTATTATATATGTATTCATTATTAATTAGACAACTTGCCATTCATTAAAAAATTGCAACGCTTAAAAACCACCCCTTAGAATAAGATAACGAAAAAACCTTTTTTAATATATCAAGAGCCAACTCGTTAAGGTGTTTTACTGGTATACCGGGTGGTCCAATAAGCCGATCTCTCGGCTATATATCAAAAACTATTCATGTTATAACTTTAGGAGAAAAAATTCCTTAGTAAAAGTGGCCAAGAGAAATCGTTGGAAATAACTTTCAAGTTTCTGGATTAACCGCTAGGGGGCGTAACCTGCGAAGAAAATTTTGAAAACCAGTTTTTTTGGGAAATATGTCCAATTATACCAAGTGTTAAATAAGTAAACTAGAAAGAGGCATAAATTCTGCACAAAGTTGTTCAAGTACTTTTTTTTTTATTTTTTCAAATTAATGGTGGGGGAGAGTGGGAAAGTATTTGTGGATAAATACCTATAACTTTCGTTTAGATCAACCGATTTTAAAAAAATTAGTGTCATTAGAAAGAGTATGGATAAATTAATTTACATCTACTATAAAATAATTGCATATAGTTTTAATTGTCGTAGGTAGAGGGTACTTTCGAAGAGAAAAAATTAAAATTTGTTTTTCTTCAAAATTTTTAATGGAAACACCTATTTATTGTAAATTATAATGGATCTGGATTAAATTCGTAACAAAATGGCGCAAACCGCATGTTAATATCTTTTATCGAACTCGAGATATGAATAAAAACTCATAAACATAAGTAAGTATAGTATTGACACACCCTGTATTATAAAATAAATTAAAAAATAAGTCAGTAGGTACTTTCAAAATTTTTTATAGCAGAAGAATCTTAATGTTGATACCTATTTTGTAAAAAATAGTTTTTTCGAAACTAAGTAGGCTACGACAATGAATTTGACAAGGAGTTCATATTGTTTATTTATTGACAGCAGTCAAAATATTGTTAAGAAGTGTTATATGTATTATAATTCGAATTGAAAATTGCATTTTTTTCAATAGATATTAATATTGGTAATATTAGTAATTAATTGTCAGTACTAATAATTCGTGATGAGTATATCAAATTGTATGATATGATTGGAGTTTATTTCAAATATCACCAAAATGGCGCTATTGCCTCACGTATATATTCTGCATCGAGCAAAAAGACAATAGAGGGAATGTAAAGGTAGTGGGGGCAAACATATTGTTAGACAGGAAGTGCGATCTTTAGAGGCCACTTTAAACAAGGAAAGAGAGTCTCTCTCCTTGTTTGACATCAAATTTAGTTGGGTTATGTTATTGTTTGTCCCAAATGTCACATGAAATCTTATTTATATTGAAGTTTTTTAACAATTATGTCGCATTTTAGACTCTTATCATTAATAATTAATTAAAACTTGCTCGTCTAAGACACATTCTGAAAAATATTATATAGCTACTGTTACTAAGTGTCGGAAAATTTAAATTTCGCGCATTTGCATTTCCGGATATGTCCGCCATCAGAGGCCACTTTTTTGGTCTCCTTTTCATAAGTATTAGATTCCCTCTTTTGTCTTATTGCTCGATGATATTCTGTAAGATATTCTGGCAGGAGATATTGTGACAAAGAAGTAGAGATTTCGGACTATTTATATGTGGATTCTGTTGAATTAAAGCAAGAACATCGATTGAATTATCTTCGGTCATAACTCTACTACGTCGTTTAAAACAAGGACGAGAAAAACTACCAGTTTCTCTTATTCTTTTTGCCTTTCTTTCAAATACTTCTTTGTCATAATGTCTCCTGTCACGATATCTTACAAAATATATACGTGAGGCAATAGCGGCATTTTGGTGACATTTGATATACTCATCACGAATTATTTGTACCTACTGATAATTAATTACTAATATTACCAATATTAATATCTATTGAAAAAAGTACAATCTTTAATTCAAATTATAATATAGCACTTCTTAACAATGTTTTGACTGCTGTCAATAAATAAACAATATGAACTCCCCGTCAAATTCATTGTCGTAGCCTACTTAGTTTCGAAAAAACTATTTTTTACAAAATAGGTATCAACATTAAGATTCTTCTGCTATAAAAAAATTTGAAAAGACCTACTGACTTATTTTTTAATGTAATTTATAATACAGGGTGTGTCAATACTATACTTACTTATATTTATGAGTTTTTATTCATATTTCGAGTTCAACAAAAGCTGTTAACATGCTGTTTGCTCCATATTGTTACGAATTTATTCCAGTTCCATTATAATTTACAATAAATAGGTGTTTCCATTAAAAATTTTGAAGAAAAACAAATTTTAATTTTTTTTATTTGAAAGTCCCCTCTACCTACGACTATGAAAACTAAATGCAAGTATTTTATAGTAGATGTGAATTAATTCATCCACACTCTTTCTAATGACACTAATTTCATTAAAATCGGTTGGACCAAACCAAAGTTATAGGTATTTATCCACAAATACTTTCCCACTCTCCCCCACCCTTTATTTGAAAAAATAAAAAAAAAGTACTTGAACAACTTAGTGCAGAATTTATGTCCCTTTCTAGTTTACTTATTTAACACTTGGTATAATTGGACATATTTCCCAAAAAACTGATTTTCAAAATATATAGCCGAGAGATCGGCTTATTGGACCATCCGGTACATATGATCAATTGAAGGGGTCAATGCAAAAAGTGGCTAAGTGACATTTTTATGTTTCTCAGTTATAGGTGTTTAAAAGTCTTAAATGGTTCCCGCATCTAGATTTTTAAAGACTAACACGTGTGATTTTTTATAAATTCTAACATTTAATGGCCTTAATATTTCACCTAAATAAAACTGATTGCATTCAAAAGGTATTTTATAAATGCAATTATTTGTCCTTTCTTTAAAAATTATTTTAAAACCCATATTATGGTGTAGATATGTGGATGATGTATTCCCATAATGGCCTCATGGATCAGAGTTGTTGGACAAATTCCTAAATAATATAAACGATAAAGACGAGACAATAATATTTACCATGGAAGAGGAATATAATAACACACTACCTTTCCTGGATGTTTTAATCTCTAAGAACGATACGGGATATGAGACTCAGGTGTATAGAAAACCAACACACACCAACAGAAATTTAAATTTCAAATCAAATCACAATATTAATATTAAAAAGAGAATTAATAAATCCTTATGCGACAGAGCCAAAATTACTTGTTATCCTTTTCTGACATTTGGTACATAACCGCCATAATTTTGAATTTTGTTATTTAAAGATTAACCTCAATGTTAGCTCCGTTAAAAAATTTAGATAATTTTTTATTTCTAATAATAATTTAAATTACTACAATTTCGCCCAACCTCTGAAGCTTGTTGTAAATCGTTACAACTGTCGCCCAACTTGGGTTTGTTGATAAATTTGTGTTAATATCATTTGTAATATCTGTTGATGTGAAGTAAATATAAATATGTAATGATTCTCTCTAAACCAGGAGATGTAGAATAATTTCTTTTCAAAGATTTTCACCTTTTATTATTTTTTAGGAAAGAAAAGCCTTTCTTTCCATCCAGCAAGAGGATTCTTTTAAACGGCGTCCATTTCAAATAGTTTAGGAACCTTATGTTTGTTGCCCAGGAAATCTATATAAGTATTTTTCTGATTTCTTTCTTTGTATTTACCCCTTCCAGTCCCTCCTTTATTTACTTACTTATGACCGAGCTATCCAACCAAAACAAGAGTGGCCCTTCGCAAACGTTTCTGTTTGTGCGCTTACTCTATCTCCAGCCCAGTAATTGCTCAGTACCCACTTTCAACCCCTATAACTGATACCCAATATGGTAGGAAAATTTTAACAATTAAATTACCGATATCGTAGAATTATTTGCTAAAGCATGCAACCGCGTAACGATGATGAAAAAAGGTTTTAAAATTACAGGACTGTATCCGATAGATAGGAGTGTATTTAAAGAGGAATATTTTACTTACTTATTAATTACTCACCACTCACCAATATGAAGATACCAGCTGTGATAATCGATGCAAACTCTTTAAGTTTGGCAAACTGAAGTCCAGTTACTGGCCCAATTGGTTTTATTTTCATCGGAAAGTGTACAAAAACAATTTCCGAATCAACAAAGGTGCAGAACCAAAAAAAATTCTAAATACTCTTCTTCGGACACGAACTAATCATTTTGCGAAATACAAGAAATGTATGACTGAGTTGGATAAAGAACCAGGGATAACCATTGGATAAAGAGTTCAGGGTTCACCTTTAAGCACAATTTTATTTAATATATACATATTGGATCTATTTTCCTTTCTTCCTAAAGATATAAATATTATTAGGTATGCTGACGATTTGGTTTTATATGTTAAGGGATCAGTTATCCAACAAATGGTTAATAAAGTTA